CCAACGTGTCACATGGCTAAAGAGGGACACTTTAATTTTATGCGGGCAGAGCTATTTGGGACATTTTAGGCAACAATATGATTGTACTTGTAGCTATGAAAAGTAGCTTAGAAGAAAACTAAAGTATGTTATTTGTACAACGTGATTGCATAACACATTCTAGTTTGATACATTACAGCGAGATGTAGGTTTTAAAATACACAAAAATATGGTGTTCACAGAAAATTAGGGGAATTTGAAATGAAAGGCAGAGGGATATTTGGATCCCGGATAGGAACTATCCTTTGTTAAAACTTGGGCAGGATGGTTTGTGCGATATCCAACTCTGAGCCAATGTCAGTATAAGGCGATGGAGTGTACTTTCTCATTTCATTGGAAACGTAGGGCTGTTTTTAATGTCCATTATTTCCTTATATGTTCACATAATCTTTATGTGACCTTTATTAGAAAAAACATACAACAAATGATTGATTTGATCACAAATGATTTGGCTAATGACATCCATTTATTATCCATGAATGTGGCCATGAGCGACAGACCGTACGAGCTTCACATTTTTTGGAGGAGAAACAAGAACGCAATGAAATTACTTACTATCATTATTAATATTTGTATTATTGCGTTATACCATTGGCAGCATTGGAATCTGCATTTAAAGAATTCACCTGCGCATTAGCTATCTTTGCGAATTTTGTTTTTGTATATTTATGGTTGTTGTTTTACCAGTCCTTTTTGGGGGGACAAAAAAGCCCACAAATGTATTAAATGCTTTTTGTGTCTTTTTTTTTTTTTTTTCTCTGGCAGATAAACCAGTAGTGATGCTGACAGCAAAGAATGCACACAGTTTAACGAGAGAAGGGGAGTCGCTGGAGCTTAATTGCATAGCAGATGGTAAACCCAGGTAAAGTACCGAAGTTGTGCAAAGGTTGTTTCTGATTTGCAATCTGTCTCTCAGGTGTGACATGTAATCGAGAAGTTAAACATAAAAGTGTGATATAAACTTTAATTCGTATTGACTTGGCGTGACTTTTAGCACATGGATCTTTAAGCACAGGATTTGCAGTTCTTTTAATACATCCTTATACCAAAACACACAGTGCACCAGAATAAATGCCATTATAAGGTCATTTTGTTCTGCGGATTTTGATGCTGTGTGTCGAGGCAAATCTTTAACAGGGCTCAATAAAACCTGTATCCAGTGTCTCTTGCAACACCGTGCCTAGCAGTGCCTCAATTTTATATATTTGCAGAAGATCCTTCCATGTGTCTCCTGGTATATAAGTCTGCTACTAAATTTGCACTGTATAGTATTGAGCTATTACATAGTGAAAATGGATTATTAAAGGGACGCTGTCGTGTAAATAATGTTTTTAGAATAAAAACTGCAAATATAGTTTCTGGAATCAAAAGCAATTCCAAATGTGATGCGGACCACGGATTAAGGGGAATACTGTGTGTATTATTTATGGGTGGCTAGCTGGCCCCTATAGCTGCATATATCCTTTACTGGAAAGCCAACTTTAAAGATCCACATGCAATGTTTTGTTCTATATGTAGATTTTGTGTACCTACCTGGAGCAGATGGTGTCATCAGAGTGATTTGTCCCTTTAAGACATTGCATTAATATGTAACATATTGAGCAGTAACACATATCTTGACGTCTGGCAGATGTGTAGGTGTAACTAACAGATGCAATACTTCAATCCGGCATCTGTTTGGAAATCGACATATGCCGCATGTGTGGACATACGATGTTTGAGATGTGCCACTGATCTTGAAGGACATGCGATTGACTTGTAACTCTCCCTAGAATACTAACTTGGCTACATTAACCATTGCTAATGTGTTCCAACTTGAGGCTTTGGTCCCAGATTTGTTTGGGTTTTTGTTCTCAGAATATTAAAAATGTATATATAAGAAGGCAATTTTGCCACAAGTATTATTTTAAGCTGCTTTTGAGGGGACAGATATATGTTCTTCTGAAATTGATGTTAAGGGCAGGTCGTGGTATGTAGATAATGACCTATTGTGTTTGACCTGCAGATGACTGACTGTGGCGGGTCTGTACATCATATCTACCACTGAGATTTGTGGCATTGGCAGATGTTCTAGACATCGGCATATGATGGTCTGAAATTTTACGATGACAGTGATGTAGCTGTTGTATTTATTTAAATACATTGGATGCCTTTATTGGCTACCTTGAAATGACGAGCAATTCTTTGAAGCTGCGTTAATAAAGATGTAATGGGAGAGAGATGCAGTCTCTTAAAATGATGGCATTCACAACGAGAGCTGCTGTGTTTGGACTTCAGGAATATCTAGTACAACTCTTGTCTAAGGCCTCAATTTAATAGGCTAATGATTCGATACTGTTAGAAAAGATTTCAAAATGATTTATCTGTAACTATTCTTTAGATTTTAACGGTGACTTCTGCAGATAACTCATTTGGGAAGTTTTTCTACGAGTATTGCATCATTTGGGAAGTTTGTTAAATCAAGGTTGGAAAATTAGAGGTCTTGTTTTACTGAATTAAGATGTGGCCATGTTTTGTAGATCATAGCTTGGTATTTGTCCAGTGCAAAGACTTAAAGTTCTGAGAAAATTCGATATCCGTTAGGGTTATTCCTTAAACCAGGAAGTATTGGGAATTGCATAATTGTAATAAATATATATATATATATATATATATATATATATATATATATATATATATTTTTTTTTTTTTTTTTCTAATTCTTTTGGATGTGCTTTTCCAATTATCACAATATGTTTGAAAATCTTTTCAGCTGTTTTATCTACAAAATATCCCATAGACTTTTAATAGTGACTCCTGTAGATTAATAATTTGAAAAGGTTTTTGTAACATATTGTGTTCATTTGAAAAAAATATCCAAAAGGAATTAAAATGAGGCCTATTTTGCAGCTATTTGTGACAATAAAGTCGGTTGGGGAAATCTCAAATGTGTTCTGTCACTTCTAAGTTTTTCCATAAAGATAGAGTTCTTGTGAAAAACTAATTTATGTCACTGAATTTGGCATTTTTGGGCAAAGGACAGAGTTCCAAGCAACTGTTGGCACAACTTCTTATTTCCCATCAGAAGTGGTGGGCACAGATGCACAGTAAATACCTATGTCATGTGATGAGTGTATGCAATCTTAATGGATCGTCCAAAAATCCCTTGTGGTGTTCTCTCGCACATGCTTGAGAGTACAATAGTGATGCAGGAGCTAAAGATGAAACGTGGAGGCCCAAAGGATGGAGAGGTACGTATATTTACCTTCCTCCTTCTCCTCCCCAGTATACCACTCTAGAAGTAAACCTGTTACTTAGGGGGATCTTTGCAAAAATGACAAGTAAAGATTACATATTGTAATGTATGCATTCGCTAGCATATGTCTTCTTAGGTAACAAGTCCACTGCGATTTTCTAGCCTGATAAACCTGCGCCAACTATTTAACTCCTGTTTCTTTGGTGGTTTATTTTATTTGTTTTTGATTTTGCACAATTTAGAAAAGCCTGAAAGAAATGTACAGGCACCTCTTAAAATCGCTAAATGCAGTAGTCGAAGAAATGTATCTGGTGTGATTTTTGCTTTGTTTTCTTAAATAATTGTGTTCTTTTTATTTTTTGTATTTTTATATTCATTGTTTAATGAGTGTTAACAAAATACTGGGGAACAAAATGAACAGATGAGAATAAATATCTACTGCCACCGAAATAGGGTATATGTTCTCCAAATATGCTTGCTATAGCATATATATATATAAAACCAAAAAGAAATGTCCTTTTATTTAAATTAAAACACACCACACATAGTGAATGTGTGTTTCACAATCATATACTTTATCTTTGTTGTATCTTCCATAAACCAATGATGGCAGCGTTCCCTGGAAATTCACAGTATTTTATGAATAATGTTGTTTAAATTGTATCAATAAATTTTCTAGAAATTAAAAACCTGAGTGTATAGATAAAATAGTTTGCCCTTTAAAGAGACACTGTGTGATTTTATTCACAGCCGGTGCACTTTAAGAAGTTTCTTTCCACCAGCAGGAGATGTTGGGTGATGTGAGGTGAACCCGTAATTTTTCACTTTTCAGTTTTAAACAAACTCACTCATGCGCGGACTATGCAAAGAGTTATGGCACAAACAATTATTCATCTTGTGTATTGTGCAGGCAAATCTATTTGGTGTCTTTTGTGTTGTTTCATTATTTATAGTCAAGTTTTTTGTATTCATGTATAATTTAGAATTGTATGCTAAAAACCATTTAAGGAAAAGGGATCAAGTATTCTCATTATTAGTTTACGGAGGCTGTAACAGTGTATCCCGTGCATTGTACAATTTGTAATAAGCATAATTCTATAGCTTGATACGGATACAGATTTGCTGTTGTTTAGCATTTTCCAAGCCTGATGCATAAGGAAATTAATGCTAATGTTAATGTGCGAGTAAAGAACAATCAGGATCTGCTTGAATACCCAGGCTTTCTTCATTCCGTGGAACCGCTGCCAGAACACTTACTTTGCGGCCCTCTTTCTCATCTCTGGTTTAATGAATAATAACTTCCAAGCCTTCCTAACTCACTTCTGAAACTGCTAATACTGTGGGGAAATGTGAACTAAACAAGCAAGATAGTCAATCTGTCCTGCTCGTCCCTTCTTGACTGAGATTGTTAAAAAATCTAATTGCAAGGCGAACAGGTTTTTGGTACTTTTTTCTAATCATATTGACATGTTAGAAGATCCTACTTTTTGGTTAGTGTAACAATAATCTTAAAGAACCACTATAGGCACCCAGACCACTTCAGCTCAATGAAGTGGTCTGGGTGCCAGGTCCCTCTAGTTATAAAGTACAAACCAAAACCACGATTTAACAAATCATGTCAGATAGTGAAGAGTGCGTAGCGCTAAATATATAGACACTTACCCCTAAGATTCTTAGGGAATGTATACAGTAAAATAAATCCATAAAAAGGAACAGAAAATATATATATTGCAATTGGCTGGTGATGATGGTGGTATTATTGGAATCACTCACATGGTTAAGAGCCTCTTAAGGACCGTCTCTGATCAGAGCCGGTCCTTAAGAGGCTCTTAACCATGTGTGTGATTCCAATAATACCACCATCATCACCAGCCAATCACAATATATTGCAATATATATATTTTCTGTTCCTTTTTATGGATTTATTTTACTGTATACATTCCCTAAGAATCTTAGGGGTAAGTGTCTATTTATTTAGCGCTACGCACTCTTCACTATCTGACATTGATTTGTTCAATAGTGGTTTGTTTGTACTCTATTATAGTAGGGTGGATACTTAAGTGTGGAAGCAGCTCTTTTACCTATATTATTTACACACTATTATATGCGCCTGAAAACACAGAACACCTATCTTCTTTTGTCCCTCTAGTTTTAACCCTGCAGCTGTAAATGTTTACACTGAGGGTTAATCCAGCCTCTAGTGGCTGTCTCACTGACTGAAAATCACAGTGAGAAGACACTGGAGGTCCATAGGAAAGCATTGAGTAATGCTTTCCTATGGGCTGTTTGAATGAGCCCGCGGCTCTTGTTGCGCATGCGCATTCGGCGCTGACGTCGGCAGGGGGCTGAGAGTTCCCCAGCACAGAGGGAGCCTGGCGCTGGAGAAAGGTAAGTGGATGAAGGGGTTTTAACCACTTCAGCCCAGTTGGAGGGGGGACCTAATGACACTATAGTGCCAGGAAACAAGTTTCCGGCACTATAGTGCTCCTTTAAACATACAGTGGGTGTTTAGTTCAGACAAGTATATTAAGTAGGTAGGTAACAGGAGACATGGGTGGATAGATCTATCAAAGGAAACCTGGGTCTTTGTATGGTGTGTAGATATACCAGATTGGTAAAATATCTGGAGTAAATAAACCTGAAACTTACAGGGACTATCATCACCAAAACAACTGTATGTCAATGATGCAGTTCAATAGTCTGCCCTTTAGTAGTTTAATCACTTTTGTGTCTGTTTATGTAGCCCTGGCCACACCTTCCCTGGCTTTGACTGACACAGCCTGTATGAAAACAAAATGTCTGCCGGTGGGCGAGACCTAATGCGCATGCCCGGCAATTAGGATCTCTCGGAATCCAGAGATTAAGATCTCTGGAATTGAAACAGACTTTTTTGGTCAGTTATCGAACGCTGGACGTCCTCATGCTCTGCAGTGCGTGAGGACGTCCAGCGTTAGATAACTGACCAAAAGTCTGTTTCAATTCCATAAGTCCCCTCTAGTGGCTGTCTAGTCCCTCTGTCCAGAAGTCCCTCTAGTGGCTGTATAGTCCCTCTAGTAGACAGCCACTAGAAGAGGAGTTAACCCTTAGAGGTAATTATTGCAGTTTATTAAAACTGCAATAATTATCACTGCAGGGTTAAGGGTGATGGGAGTTTGCACCCAGAGCTGAAGTGGTCTGGGTGCCTACAGTGTCCTTTTAAGATGTTTTTATCTTCTGCTCTGTAGATGAAACTTTAATCACACACTTGAGGCTCCTATAGGGTCTAGCAAGCTATTAACAGAGCAGGGGGATAATACATTCTAAATTAAATTGAATTTGCAATAAAGGAAGTGTAAACATTAGATGACAATTTATAGGTAGTATTTAGGAAGATTGTGTAAATCACATGCAGGGAGCTGTGACAAGGGATAAACATAGTGATTTAACTCCTAAATGGCAGCGAATTGAACAGTGATACTGCATGGGCATGGTCTATACACCAAGACTGCTTTATGAAGCTAAAGTTGTTTTGGGTGACTACAGTGTCCCTTTAAATTGTCCTGATCCATGGTACAGAAACAAAGAATGGCTAACCTATCCGTGGGCTCTGTAGGACTAAAAAATTGTTTGTCTACAGTAGTAAATACAAGCCCAATTTGTTCAACTATACAGAGTGATGAAACATTTCATTATGATGAAGTTTATAGTGCAGAATACTAAATTCAAGGTTTCCATTTAAATTGCTGTCAGATCTATGGGAACTATTATTGTTGTAGAAGTTGTGTGTTTTTATAGGGTCTTGTATCAGATAAAGCCATTGTTTAGTCATGGGATCTAATCCTCCCTGCAGCCTTAGTCTAGACCAGTGATGGCGAACCTAGGGCACGCGTGCCACAGGTGGCACGCCGCGCCCCCTCTGTGGGCACGCGGCCATAGGTCGCCGGAGGGAGGGAGGGTGCACTCCGCCGGCGCATCCATAAGGCGGCACAAGTGGCCGCCTTAGGGCGCACCGGCCCTGCGGTCGCAAAGCCGGAGTGACCGTCAGGAGGTGAGCGCATAGTGCACAGCGCTCCCTCCTGCCAGGCACTCTGTGTAGCGTGGCCGAGCGCACCGCGGTACAGGAACTTATGTTTCCTGTACCCGGGTGGACGGAAATTAAGTGCTCACAGAGAGAACACTTCCTGTCCGTCCGGGTACAGTAAACTGAGCTCCGCAGTGCGCTCGGCCACGCTACAAGGAAGAAGGAGACTGAGGGAGAAGGAGACTGAGGGAGAGATGGGGGGGAGGGAGAGATGGGGGGGAGAAGGAGACTGAGGGAGAGATGGGGGAGGGAGAAGGAGACTGAGGGAGAGATGGGGGAGGGAGAAGGAGACTGAGGGAGAGATGGGGGGAGGGAGAGGAGGGAGGGAGAGATGGGGGGAGGGAGAGGGGAGGGAGAGAGAGGGAGAAGGAGACTGAGGGAGAGATGGGAGGGAGAAGGAGACTGAGGGAGAGATGGGGGGAGGAGACTGAGGGAGAGGGGGGGGAGGAGACTGAGGGAGAGATGGGGGGAAAGAAAACAGGGGGGGAGAGGGGGGATGACATACACACAGCACCCCTGCCCTACACACAGCACCCCTGCCCTACACACATCACCCCACAAAAAGACACACACACACACACACCACCCCACACACACATCACTCCACCCCACACACACACACATCACTCCACACACAAACACATACACTGTACCCCTCAATGCACTGTGTGTGTACACTCAGCAGTCTGTCTGTGTGTGTACACTCAGCAGTCTGTCTGTGTGTGTACACTCAGCAGTCTGTCTGTGTGTGTACACTCAGCACTCTGTCTGTGTGTGTACACTCAGCACTCTGTCTGTGTGTGTACACTCAGCACTCTGTCTGTGTGTGTACACTCAGCACTCTGTCTGTGTGTGTACACTCAGCACTCTGTCTGTGTGTGTACACTCAGCACTCTGTCTGTGTGTGTACACTCAGCACTCTGTCTGTGTGTATACACTCAGCACTCTGTCTGTGTGTGTACACTCAGCACTCTGTCTGTCTGTGTACACTCAGCAGTCTGTGTGTGTACACTCAGCAGTCTGTGTGTGTACACTCAGCAGTCTGTGTGTGTGTACACTCAGCAGTCTGTGTGTGTGTACACTCAGCAGTCTGTGTGTGTGTACACTCAGCAGTCTGTGTGTGTGTACACTCAGCAGTCTGTGTGTGTGTACACTCAGCAGTCTGTGTGTGTGTACACTCAGCAGTCTGTGTGTGTGTACACTCAGCAGTGTGTGTGTGTACACTCAGCAGTGTGTGTGTGTGTGTGTGTATTTAGCAGACTGTGTACTCAGCAGTCTGCTAAATACAGACAGACTGCTAAATACACATACAGACAGACTGCCGTGCACACACACAAACTGCTTAATACACACACAGAGATATTAATTAGTTCGGACAACTGTATGAGTTGTTTTTTCTAAACATAAACCTCAGTATTCAGGTTTAAATGCCGTTTTGGCACTTTGAGGGAAAAAAATTGGTATGTATTACGGTTTGGGCACTCTGGCTCAAAAAAGTTCGCCATCACTGGTCTAGACTCACCATTATTATGCTTAGATTGTAAGCTCACAAGCTGTACGTTGTGTTCTTTCCCCAACTGTGTACAGCACTGAACAATGCAATTTCTTTATAAACACAAAGTAAATAATTCAAGGACGTTAAAAAGATTGATGCTCAGTAATGCGATTCTTTACCAGTAAATCTGGTGTATATATTGTACATTTACTGTTGGCTCAGTGTTATTGAAATTAGTGGTTTTAAGGTTGTTGTTTTTTTAAATTTAATATATGACATATCTGTGTGGGCAGCTGTGGAATGCTGCGTACTCTACAATAGATAAATGGTAACCTTCACCAGAACCAAAAATAAAGTATAAATGTTTTGCCTCCCTCCACACCGAGCAACTTTGGGTTGTCCTATTGGTCACCCTGTGGTATTTTGCAAGTTAAAAATATATGATAACTAGTATCATGGTTCAGATTTCAAGGACAAACATCTGTTCTTTACTTGAACATCTGACATCCCCGGTTAATCAGCGTAGATACAGATATAGCCAGACTTGAATACATGTTTTTCCTGTACTCTCAGTATAATAAAACACATTCTCGTTAACTAGCTTGAACATTTTGTTTAGAAAGACTTTGCGAAGATGTTTAAACATTCAAATTATATTTATTTCTATCATATATGCCAATGAGAGTTTTCTCTTATGGATTATTCTGATTTCAGACCGGAGAAGGTTTTGTGGCAGCGACTGGATGATGACATTCCTGAACACGTTATCGTCTTTGGTGGATCTCTCATCTTCAGCACCCTTAACAAGACTGACAATGGCACCTATCGATGCGAGGCTTCCAATGCCGTGGGCCGTACAACAGCTGATTACACACTTTTTGTGTACGGTGAGTGTCAGGTGGATATGTGATTACGTAAAAGGAAAAGGGGGAGGGTCAATATTTTTATTGTATATATTTTTTCTAACTTGCTTTTGAATCCAATCCTCTAACAACTTGATTCCTAATAACTTTTATAGCTTTCCCTATGAATTTTAACATTTTAGTATTCACTTTTATGACCTGTCCATTTGACTCCTTAACATGTCGTCTACATGGTAGCTACGACTTTATCATGAGACTGATGTATCGACTTTCCAGCTGTTGTTAATAGACTATGACCTTCAAAAAAGGCAATGCTGGCTACAGGCTGCGTCAAGGTCAGAGAAGCTTTAGTGTAGCAGCTGGAGTGTTAACTTATTAGCTAACCCTGGCCTTCATAATCTGACTTCCTACTCCCTTCGCCCCCACCCCCCAAGCATCTTGATATTCTCATAACTCCATCTTCTCTCTCATCCAGTCCAACCTTCATGTTCTGCTGCCAGTCATGTATATTATTAATCAGTTCATTTTCAATTTTATTTTCTTGCCGTGACCTTCAGGCTCCCTAAACGCAAGCATCTTTTACTCGTGTTAACAGTCCCATTTACTCATACGACAATACTGTGCTGGTGGTCAAAGGATAATACCACCAGCCTAGGGCTGATTTTGATGCAATGTTTTTCGGCAGTTTACTTCCCCTTACTCACTCCCCAAATAAACTCTGAAATAATTTTTTGGTTGTTTGCATGGGGCCAGTTACAAGTCAAACTTCACAAAAACAGGTGCCTCATGGTATGTATGTTAATTGCTTTGTGCATGGAGTAAATTACGAACAATAAGTAAAGTGGAGAAAAGCTCTAAGAACATCTTTCCTGTAACTCCTCTAAGTCAAAACCAAGTCCATCATTAGATTGAGCTGCAATGGTTGAAATGGTTATGCCACACCAAACTTGACTTTCTCCTATTGTTTCCTCTTCTCTTTCCAAAATGTTATTCATTACTGATCTAGCTCTCTTTAAAACAAACTCTTTTGTCTTCTGTGTTTGTCCACGAATGACATTTGTGACAGAAGGTTGTAGCTTAAGGCAAGGTCCACTTCCTTTATCAAGCTAACAATGGCAAAGCTTACCTTATGCTCCACCATTTTGTTATGGTCGCAACATGTAGGAAAAATCTCAGAAAAAGACAAAATAGTCCCTACTTTGTGGTATGTTTTAAAGAAAAATGGGTTAGGGAAAAGAAGTACAGGTTTTGAAAAAGGACGCAATAGGAGGAAGGTAAGTTTGAGGTGACAGCCATTTTAAGGTGCACTTTTCATTATTTTTATTGTAGAAAGAGACCCAAGTTATTATGTAAGTGGCATTAGCTTGGGAACCCATTATTGAGTTGGAAAATTCTCAGGGACCCATTACTCAACCATTATGTAATATATCTGTAAAATAACATTAATTCTGCAAATTCACATTCCTTAAGCTCTTCCCAGTGTCATCGGGGACTCGGCAGTGTTAGGAATGTGCTGCTGCTGCACTAACAGTTTGTTTTTGGGCAGTTGCCTGGGGCTCAGACAATATGATGCGCCTTTTCCACTCATCAGGGACCAACAGAAATAGCATAAGGATGCACGTGTGGGTTGCTTCCAAGGGGTTAAAAACCAGTGCCACAGTCTACGACAAAGAATGGCTCGGCTTTTGTTGTGCTGTGCTAAATTTGAAGAGCGCAAAAACTGTTCACTAGAAAAACAAGTTTGTGCTGTTGATTACCCTTTGCTGCACCTGTATCTCTTTAGGCATTCTTTTAGAACGTCGTTAGAATTTCTAGTTTGGGAATCCACTTTAGATTGTGTATCCCCCTTTGTTACAGTTTGTAACTTTTTTTGTAGCATTTTGGGTTTTTATCATATATATTTCTGAAGATTTCCTTTCAAGAGGGAATTCTGGCCTATTTATCCTACATTATTAACCTGAGAAAACACAACACTTTGTCATTTTGTAATAGTTAATAATAATTGTGCATTTTGTGTTTTTGTTTTTTGTTTTATAAATTGGAGAAAATGTGTAAGATTGAGCATTTCTGATTTCTCCAGGCTGGTGCCACAGACCAAATCCTAACACTCTCTTGTCTAACGTTGTGTAGAATGTGATCTTTGGCTCCGTCCAGGACATGTTAAGCTAAATAAACTAAACACGCAATACATAGAAATGTTAAAACTGCATAAAAAAAGTCTTTTCATATGATGCTTGACTTAACGCACAATTTTTCTTACTGTTTATGTATAATCCGGCTGCCACTCACACAATGTATGGATAACTTAAAGGTATTTAATGTACTCTATAATCTACGTGGCTAAAAGTATGTAGATTCTTCTTTAAATAAATAAGATCTTCCTTTTCGGCCACACTTGTTGGTGCTGTGTGTGTGTTACATGAAGCACGCACATAAATGTTGGCTGTAGATTGGTCCCTACTGCAGAGTTCATTGACAGTGGTGTGCAGTCATAAGATTCCACCTTTTCAACACTATAGGTTCTCTACAATGTGAGGTGAGATGAAAGGATCGCTTGGCACAATTTAAATCTGTTAGTGCATCGTTATGGAATGGTCCAATTAGGCTCAAACGCTCAGCTGCGGAGTGTTATGGCCACACAAGCTTGCAAGAAAAAATCTGCATGTTCCACCAAGAAAGCATTGTATCATTACAAGGACTGTTCGATGGAATCTTCGTGGAAAGGGATTTCTGTGGCGAAACACCTGTATGAAAACAAGGTCACCAAATATGGCCAAATGTCAGATCTATTGGAAAACTGCCACCATTGGACTCTGGAGTAATGAGTCTCTTCATCTACCGGTTGGTCGAACGGAGGACCCTTGGTTTCAACAAATCTGATGAGAAAAATACTTTTTGGACTGTGTAATGGCAACTATAAATTTTGTTCTATGGAATAATGACATCGGATATTTTCATGGTTCTGCAGATGCCTCTTGATTCCCATGTGGGAAAGTCTTCATGCTACGACGTACACTGGAATAATACACAAACTGATGCTTGTACCTTTGTGGCAAAAGGTAATGCCATTCCCTGTCTCACCTTAATATGATGGGCCGTATAAAAAATGAAGCTCATGCAGATATGGATTTCTTATCTCGGAGGAGGAACCTAACTGACCCTGCATAGAACCTAGGCATTAAAATTAACAGAAGGCCAGTCCAAAATGGCCAGCCTCATCATTTGTTTTGTGACTGAAAGTATATCCCTGACGCAATGTTCTTAAATCCTGTAAAAACAAAAACATACCTTTAGCCATGCAGACTTGCTATAATAATCTTGGCATGTGTTACTGGAGAGGAACAGTTATGAGTGATGCTGTGTAGGTAGATGTGCGTCCTGTATAGGTATTTTTCAAATGAAGATATCCCAGAACAAAGAAAACAAGTGGTGGGTGGCAAAATGAATAGTACAATAAAGTGTATCTGCGTGTATTATTTACATCTCTGAGAAATCGACAAAACGATGACTGAAAAAGTAATTGTTTTGCTGTATTGGGTTAATTTATTTTGATCGTCTCATAGGAAGTTTAGATATTGAACCTGGAGACTTACCTGAATTTGCCAATTTGTACCATGTCTGTTCACAGCCATTTAATGCAAACAAATACAATTTTTCCTTATCAGCCATGCGTGTCTCTGAAATGATAATGATATTGAAATGATAAATGAATATCATCAATAAAAATATCTTCCATTTTTATCAATCAGAGAAAGTATTTTCCGGCCCTTGGCATTGTTAACCCGGCATTATAACTTTTTTTTCTAACTTGTCTTTCTTTTACCTTTCATCCATGTGGACGTTTTTACTCTGCACTTGAAATTGTATGTATATGATGACACCGTAGTAAGGTTTGATGTCACATTAAGTTGTCACTTTGTCTTCTATTTGTCTTTGTCATCTTGACAGTGGTGTGGTTC